TGTCGCCTGCCAACGACTCCTTTCATGAACGGCAAATATTGTTAGCTTTAGGAATCGAAAAATCAGAGTCTATCAAACCGAATCCCCTCCTGATAATATAAGTTTTTCGCATGGTTACGTAAATTCGTCTTTTTTTGTCATAAGTAGAGCGTAGATCCCTTGTGTCAAATTCTCCACTACCACCTGGCTCTTTTTCAGAGAATTATTTCTTCTTTATTTTGCACTTAGCGAGCATATGCAAGCTTTCTATAAATCTTCACCGAATGGGGAATACAACTGAAACAAGCGGTCAATAATGTTTGCATTATCATACAAATGAGTCGCGGGAATAGGGGGAGGGGTCGATAAGAGGAGGCTGTTTACCCGACGGTAAGGATTTGATAACGCCAGTCTAGGGGGAAGGGGAGGCGGAGACAATTAGAGCGAGATCGCGGACGAGTGCATGCGGTTAAACGACTATTGACCCAGCTGGCACCGATTTAGGTGAGGATCACTTATATGGCTGCCTAACCAGAACACGGGGCAGGAAAGCTATACAATACATGAGGCGTTACGCCAAATGCCGGGGCATTATGTTTTGGATTAAGGTGAGGGTTAGGTTTAAGGTTGAGGTAAAGACCAAAGTTGGATTTGGGATCAGGATTTCATTAAGAGGTTAAGCTTTAGACTCGGTGTCCACAAGCGTTTTCTTGGTAGCAACGAATGTTCTTATTTATATTTACATGCCTACTCAATTAATTTCTGTTAGGGTTAGGGTAAGGGTGAGGGTTAGGATTAGGATTAGGGTAAGCGTTAGGGGTAGGGTAAGAGTGGGATAGTGAGATCGTATGTAAAAAAAACAAGTTTCTGTCTTACGGGAAGCGTGGGAGTAGGCATGTAATTATAAATAAGTACATTCTTCGCTACCAAGGAAACTTCTGCCCTCATGTTAATTGTATCGCTTAGGTTTAGGGTATGGCTAGTGCTAAGTTCGCAGTTTAGTTGTATAGTAGGGTGGGTGTTAAGATCAAGACATGGGGGAGTATATCTTCCCTGGAAGTTATCGCAAGACCATACATTTCAAGTGAGTGGGGCGTTTCTGTCCGGATGACCTGCTTAGATGGCCATACAAAAGGCACACTTACCTAAATTAAATTAAAGTAATTTCGCTTCTACTTATGATCACAAGCTCGAGGTTCGTGGCCGCTTAAGGAATCTAGACAGTATATCGGCACTTTATGAGTTGTCTAATGAGACCTGAATGCTTGTCTCTCCGCCCTTTCTAACGAAGTTTTCTGCTGCAGTCTTTTAAAAAGAGTTGGTTGAGGAGGACAGTTCAGTGACTCTGCGCTCATTGCGTTAATCCTCGAACCAACCACTTCTTCCCTGAGAATGTGGCCGCCCCCCCCCGCTGTTTTCGTTCCATTACTTCTCACCTTATTTACAATTACTTCGTGCTTGACCTCAGCCTGAGCCCAATCCAGGTCGCTGTGACGCCACCGCCCCCCGCCCTACTTCAGCGGATCCTCAGAATGACTGCGACGATGTTAATTACGCAGTGTATGTGTCGCGCGGTCTCGCGCCTAACTGGATCCAAGCGTTGCGCTGG